CTGCTGGGGCTGTTGTGGCTGCTGCTGGTGGTTGAGCCACAGAGAGCGTCTCCTTTATTTCTCCCCTCTTCACTGGAGCTCTCTCAGAGGGGTCTGAGCTCCTCACATCAGCTGCAGCTGCTTTAATCCGGTTGAGAGGAAAATAATTGATTTTTATAGAGGGCATATATTCTAAGAAATTATATTTGAAAAATGTGGAAAAAAAAAAATCCCCGGGGAAAAAGGAGCAGATGGTTCTCTATATTATAGTAACGCTGCCAACTGAGGTCTATTTAGACAGACCATAATAAACTGTAACTGTATCAGGCTGTTCAGCTGCTTCTACTCTACTGGGCGACCTGTGAACTGAAGGCATTTTATATTTGATTGATAAGGTTTATTATTTATCATTGTTGGGTTTTTTCCCCCATATTTTATTTAAATACAATATTTAATATATTTGCAAACATTAGCTTTTTTTGCAACTTAATAATACTAATAAAACAAAAATAATACGTTAGCATAATTAATGCTAACTGATGTAATAAGAGGTTTTTCTATCTCTACTGATTTTTATTGTTCATTTTTGTTTTTCTCTTTTTCTCGCTTTTGTATTTTTCACTAAAAGGATTTTTAGCTTTTTTTTCTAATATTCTTACACTTACTTAATTCATTTACATTTTCTTGCCTCTCACAGTATCAACAGTCTAACAGAGTGGGTGAGGTGGAGGGGGGAGAGTGGGGGGGGCGTTCCCAAATCCAGGAGCTCCGTGTGAAGCCTCATCATTCCTGCACTGGAGTCAGAGAGAATATTCATGGAGGAAAGACGTCTTCCTGCTCAGAACGCCGTTGTCCAGCTGATGCAGAATAAAACCACAGAAGGAACGACGGCAGGAGAACCAGGGAACGTGGAGTGGGAAGATTTGGTCTAATCACTCAGTGTTTTTGTGCTTTTGTTTCATCTCTTAGTCTCTCATTAAAAACCGGACCATTTGAAGGCAGCTCTAATGTGCTCCCTGGTGGACGGTGCTGGTGGTTGTTTCTTTTGTGCAGGGTAATTGGTCTCAGAAGCCGGGGCTGCGCGCGCTCCTCTGATAACCCAACATTATCACTTGGCCGTGGCTTCATCTTCATCATCATCATCATCATCATCATCAGAGAGCGTGGAGTTCTCACTTTAAAACTGACACCTCTTCATCAAACTGACCAGAACTGACCAGAACCGACCTCAAAAACAATGAGCACCATGTGTGGACCAGTCTTTAAGGTAAAACAATGGGCAAAAATAAAACACAAAACTGAGGGAAAAATAAGAAAAAGAAAAAAGGAAATGTTCCTTTTGTTGCTGCAGCTTAAAAAGAGTCAGTGAAATAAAATGGAATGCGACCGGAGGCTAGATTTTTTTGGAAAGTTGTTGTAGTAAGTAAACCAGTCTTTCCATTATCATTTGCCTGAAAAATAAACCCAGATGTTCAATTTTAATTATTTTAGAAAATATGCCAACTCGTCAATTAATATAAGAACCAGCTCTGGGCTAATGTGTTCATGTGTTCATCTGGTTCCAGTCAAAATAACTGCCTTCACTAAAACCAACTTCTCTAACTCTTCCTAACGTATGACTCACTGGTAACACTGACAAACTCCAGCCCTGTAGGTGGCAGTAATGCACCTTAAGTTAGTTCATCATCTGCAAGGAAGGAACCCAGGCTTTGTTGAGGAACAGTACTGCACAAGAAAGTTTGGAGAACAGTGACAGAAGAACGTTGGTCGGCTTATTCAGCAGAATGCTGCTGTCGTAGCTAAAGTTAGCTAGCGGGACTTTTTTTTTTAAGTGTCAGACTTTACCACTGACACTAAAGTTCCTGCATCTCATTAGTGGCCTGCGACGCTCTCACTCACTTCTCCTTCAACAGAAACAGTTAGAAAGAAAATCAATGTGATAAAATAAAGAGAGAAAAAAAAATAGACAAATAAATGACCAGAGGGGGCAGCGATGGCTCCAATAAAACAGGTAGTTGGGATTATAAAGTCTGAGAGAGTGAGAGAAAAAAAGGGCGGGGGGGGGGGGGGGGTGGAAGCTCCACTGTGCTGCAGTAATAAGGTGTCAAAGTTAGGCAATCACACACACACACACTCGTTTACTCCCTTCAGTCCAAGGTCAGTTTCACACCTTTAAAATGGAAATACACATTCAAATGAGTTCCTTCTGCAGAAACAAAAAAGACCAGAATAATTCACGCAGCCGAGGATTTGAGTCCAGCGACCGTCGAGCGCCGCGGACGAACTCTCAGAGCGACGACACGACGTGTTAGCGTCAGACACCGGCCTCTCTCCTCCTTTAGCCACCGTTTGAGGCTGAAGTTATAATAAAGTGAAGATGAACCGTGGAATGACATCACCAACATCTCACCTCCGTGGGTTTGAAGGAAAACAGAAGTGTTTATTACTGTGACCCCCCCCCGGCTGCCTCCACCCCCCGCGCGCGCGCCCCCCCACCA